GTAATTACTGTGTGTGCCTTTATGCCTGAGCTCAAGAAGAAAGAGCCCCATTTTCCCAGTGAAACCATGACAGCAATGTTGGGGGATCCTGCTTGCCTATGTACACTTTGAAGGATGCTGCACCTCTTTAGAACAGTTATTAATTACGTTGCAATGCGTATTTGAAATGACTTATTATGCAAGATAGTGCATTCACCAGGAATACTTTTTCATCCCCCCATCTTCCATCGATGCCAACTCTCGCCTGTACACGAACCCTGCTGCCTGTGCTATTGGGGGAGCTGTTTCCTCAGCCTCTGCCTTCCGTGGTCTGTGGCATGCAGTGCCGTTCAACTCCACGAAAGGTGCTGTCAAGAAACATATCCAAAGCCGTGAGCACCGTTTGCCATCCATGTTCTCAATAAAATAACCACTTACAGGATTGCTTTTTTATGTGATCCTTAAAAGGCTGCTTCCCAATGACATCAGCACCTGCAATTTTGAGATCACCCCCCACCCCAGGAATAATGATTATTGTTCCATTTATTTTCTTTGCCTTTTATTTTATCAATTCCATCAGGTGACCTCTATAAGCATCCAAAATTAGCATCGATTGAGGACTTGCAGGACTAATATGTCTTTTCCTTCAAGTTGAAGCACAAAGTAATTGAGAACAGAGCCTGGCAATGTGACAGAAGACTTTGCAAAGACTTGTGCACATAGCGGGATCCGTCTTTCAAAGGACAATTTTGGGGAAATCTCATGCCTTGTTTTCTGATGTTCATGGTCAATCTTTGACAGCTCGGATCTAAACTATAAATGTCCTAGAGGGCAGGACCTGCCCTGTCTTGGTAAATGCTGAGTCCCAGGACCTCATGGGGGTCCTGGGGAATTCCCATTCTTCTTCCTGGGGAAGAAAGGTGTGTGGAATAAATGAAGTGTGAAATGTCTTGGAAAAAGGGAAGAGAGGTCCAGGTGGGTGTGGATGGGGCATGGTGGCTAAAGGGAGGGACAGAGCGGACCTGCCTTCATTAGGCAGAGTGGGGAAGCACTGGTATTGCAGAGCTAAGCCTGGAGGGCCTCATTCATACACATGTACACACACATGCACATGCACACGCACACATTCACTCACACATAGACTGACATAAGCACACACATGCATACACAGACATAAACACATAGAGATGCTGCAATGGTTTAGTTCTGAAATATCCTCCCAACTTCTCCATTTGGAGTCAGGGCCTGGTGGGAAGGGGCCGGTCATGGAGGGTGTGACTTGGAAGGGTATGTTCCTGTCCCTGGCTCCCCTCTCTCTGCTTCCTGGCCACCATGCAGTGAACGGCTTTCTTCTGTCATGCTGTTTCTGCCTTGGAGTCAGCCAACCATGAACTGAACCCCCTGAAATTGTGAGCCCAAATCAACCTCTCCTGCTTTAAGTTTCAGGTGTCAGGCATTACATCCCAGCGATGGGAAAGTGACTAAGACAGACGCATGCACAGAAACAGAGACACACAGACACAAAAAGACACACATACAGATACACACGCACACACACACACACACACACACACACACAGATCCACAGAGACACACTGAAGCAGGGAGATGCAGACAGACATGAGTACACGGAGACACACATAGGTACACAGATGCAGAAACAGAGACACAGACACATGTGCACACGGAGATAGTGGCACAACCAGCGCAGACACAGACACACACATAGATACACAGAGACACAGACGCGCACACGTATAGACGCATTCACATATACACAGACTCTCTCTTATACACACACAGTAGACACTCCAGTGCTCCAAAAGAAAAGTGACCTCAGGCCTAGCAGAAGCCTCCAGAATGTGGGGGGAAGGGGTTTGGGACTTGGTGCCCCCACCTGTGGCCGCAACTCTGGTACCAGGGCTTGACTGCTGATGTTTGCCAACTGTGTGCCGTCCCAGGAAGCCCCTCCTGTGTGACACCGTTGTCATGTAATGTCTTCCACTTAAGTAGCAGTCACTGAGGTGTGGGCTTCCTGGTGCCTAATGGCCCAGGGTGTCGCCAAGGGCTATTAACCCTGCCGGCCATTAATCCCGGGAAATGCCCAGGGCCATTACAGGCTTGGAGACTCTCAGTGAGCAGTAACACACGCCCCTGGGGACACCACTGCCTGAAGGGCTCTGCCTCCCTGGAGAGCCGTGGGGAGTGTGTGTGTGTCTGGGCCTTTGCACACGTGTGTGATGGTGTGTGCAGGCACACACCCACAGCCTAGGAAATCACGACACACGGTGACATGGAGATCTGTATGTGACCTTTTCTCTACAAGGATCTCTAGTTGTCGCTAAGAGCTGACCAGAGGCCACAGGCAGCTTTGGTGGGCAGTGGGGGGACAGAGAGAACAGGTAACTGCTGCTGTGCTTGGGGGCTGGGGACAGACAGAACTAACTGGAGAAGGGTTCTGGGTGGCCTTGGCTCTTTTGGTGTGTAAGATAAAGCATGCTCATTTTCCCACCGTCAGGGCAGGACGGGGAGGCACAGGAGGGCTGTGGCAGCTGTGGGCAGAGCCAGGGACCCAGGTCTGGCTCAGGGGAATCGCGGTCTAGTCTTCTGTGGCACCCCGGCTCTGCCTCCCTCTGTGCTGCCGCCCCAACTGTCTCCATTCCTGCAGCTTCTGCCGTCCTGTGACTTTCACTGCCTCATGGTCTCTGCTGTCCTGTGGCCTCTGCTCCCCTGTAGCATCTTCTTACCGTGTTTTAGCTTTAGAATACAAGATCTAGGGTCAGATCTCCTGGACTCAAATCTTGGCTCTCTCTTTTCTAGCTGTGTGGCCCCAGGCAATCTACTTACTCCTTTAAGCCTTGGTTGTCTTTTCCATAAAAAGAGAAAAGCAGCAGAGCTGTTATGAGAATTAAATAGAACAACACAAGCAGAGCTCTTGGGATGGTGCCTGGGGCCCACTGAGAGTTGCAGGGGTGCTTCCCCCTTCTCCTTCTCCCTACCTCTGCCCCTCCCCTTCCCCTTCCTCCCCGCTTCCCTTCCCTTCCCTTCCCTTCTTCTCTCCCTCTTCCCCTCCACCCCTCCTGCCGTTCTCCTCCTGCTTCCCCTTCTTGCGCTCCTCCTCCCTGTTTCCCCACCCCTCCGTCCCCTCCCCCTTTCCCCCTTCTTCCTCACTCTTCTTTGTCCTCCTCTGATCTTCCTGTCCTTTCTCGTGTTCTCTGCATGTGTTCATCCCCTGACTGTGATGCCGCTTGGGTGCCACGTCCCCTCCTCCAGGCCCTGGTTGTGGCTCACTCTGCAGGAACGAACACCCTCTCTCTGCAGTCCCTGGCCATCTTTGGGTCCAGGGCCAATGTCAGGTTTGGTGGCACTGACTCCTGCCGCTTTCAGGGTGCAGAATCTGTGGCCCCACTGCGAGGCAGCCCTTCTTGCTCTACCGCAGGGACCGCGGGCTGGCAGCACATGCCCAGTTCTGTCCCATCAAGAGTCCCTGTCTGGGGCCGGCACCCCCCTTGGAGACACACTGTGGTGTCGGGGGGGGGGGTGGCTTGGTGAAAGGCACAGTCTGCCTCACCCTCTGAGGTGGGTGGAGATTTGGCGCCGGGACGCAGATCTGTATGTCAGGGCCTTTGGTCCCCGGTGCGGGAATCGGATTTGGCTAAGTTTTTCTGGAGCCCCTCAGTCATCTGGCTTGTTTCTCTCTTTGATTTTAAAGGCTGACTCCAGCAGGAGGCCACACCTGAAGAAGGCGGTCCCTAAGGTCCCCGAGGCCACTGACCCCCAGCCTCACGGAGCAGCCCTCTTTCCCTGGAAGTCCCAGGATGGGCCTGAGCCAGGGGCACTCTGCTCCGACGGCCTTAATGCCGCCTTGAGAGCAGGGAGAAGTGTCCCCCACCCGAGGGGACTGGCAGTGACTGACACATGAATGCAGAAGAGGAAAGCAATCTGGGGATGACACCTGGCCCCGCTCACCAACGGACCAGGATGCAGGGAAATGTCACTGCCGCTGCACAAAAATATCGTATTATCAGCCCCTTGCAATGGGCAAGTGGATTAAGATGCTATTAACACAGCAAATTAAGCTTACAAGGGAAGTAAACAGAAATTAAATCAATATCCAGCACAGGGGACAGCTGCTGCTCTTATAGGGCCCCAGGGACTGGGGCCAGGGTGCGCGGGGTTGGGGGTGGAGCATGCCTGGAGAGGGAGGGGGGTGTGGTTAGGAATTAGAGGTCCAGGCACGGAGCCGCAGACCCTTGGAGGGTTTGGGCTGACCTGTCCCTCCTGTGGGTAAGGGCTTCCCTTCCGGTGTCCATCCAGGAGGGCCCCCTCCCTGATCTGCCAGCTCCTTGCGCCTCTGAAAGGGGTGCCGGAGAGATTTGGCTTGCCCAGTCCCTTTTCGGCCTTTTTTGGCAAGGGTTCCTAGCTTTTTCTTTGAGGCCAACTTCCTAAATTTTCCCAGTCCATGCCCTTCTGAGAGGTTCACCCACTCCTGGGCTTGGGATATCTGGTTCAGGCTTCTCCTATGAGGGAATTTTGTCTCCTTGGTCACAGCACTTGATTCAGGGGTTCTTGGCCACCCTCACGTGTGTGCCAAGGGGCAGTCCAAGAAATTTGACTGGAACTTTCTGAATTTCTGGACTTTCTTGAAGGCAATTGAGCAGATCTGGCATACCACTGCAGTGGGAGATCTTGAGCCGAGGGTGAAGCTGCACAGAGGTATGAAGATAGAAGCTAGAGCCTAGATCAAGCTGTACCTGAAGCTATTCTAGATCCACTTTGGATATTTTTAGGAATCTGAGCCTTCTTATCTCCTATCCTTTAATTCTTAAGGCAGTTTACATTGGAATTTGATTGTCTGCGACTAAAAGAGTCTAGCTTGAAAAATAATTTTATTACTTAAAAAAAAAATCTATTTACCAAGTACCTCTCAAGGGTCCAGGGCACGTGGTCACAAGGCACAGCTGATGGTGATGTTCTCTGATATCCTTTCTTTTGCCACCAGGTCTGCCTTCTGGATATCATTTCCTTATCCATCACGCCAGGTCACCGGTGTGTCTTGCCATCCTTTGGTTGCAGGATCCTTCTCTGGGGCAGGTGAGCTCTCCTGGGCTGGGAACCCCTAGCCTCAAATTCAGCCTCTTCCCTTTTGAGCCTCTGCCTTACCATGTTTGGGCAGAAACATAATCTGAGGGGCAGAGTCTGACTCTGTCTTCTCTAGGTCCTGCTCTCACCAGCCTGACCCAGTGCTCCTGCCAGATATGGGCAGAGGCTGGGGACGGAGGATGAGATGACTTTTCCCTGCAGCAGCTCCTGTGCTCCTGTAGGACTGAGCTCAAAGCCACCCTCTTCTGGAGCAGCTCAGTGGTCCCCTGCAGCCCCGGGGGGCACTGTGCAGATTCTCCGACAGTCATGCCGCTTCCTAGCTGGAGGTTCTGCCTCTGTATCCCTGCTCCTTTGAGGGTTCCTAGCCGGCGGGGACCAAAGCTTCTCCCTCTCTTGACGGAGAGCCCAACTCAAGCCTGCTGAGTGACAAGGTGAACACATGTCACAAGGCACAGCTTCCGGCCTGCCCTAGGTGTGGTCACTGGTAGGGCTCTTGTGGGAGTCACAGCCTGTCTGTGGGGACCTCTGGCTGTTTGGGAAGGAGACTTTTGATCCCTAGGGCCAAGCATCCAGGGGGTGGGGAGGGGGCTCCTCGCAGGTTGTGCTGGAGAGGGCTGGCAGTCCCAGGGGCGGATGCAAGGAGCTCTCACTGCGCTTCGCCTGGCCGGTGGCTCTCCAGAGATGCTCTGAAAACCCTTCACACAGGGGGAGGAGGCAGTAGTTGCCTATTACAAGGGTGCTTATGACTTCCTACTCTCTGGGGGGACAGTAGGTGAAGCCCCCACTATGTTGCACCCATGGACAAGGGACTCTCTTGCTAAAGACCGTCCTGTGCCCCTAGCTTGGCTCTGGCCCTATGGTTGGTGATCATCAAGGTCCTTAGAGGCCTGACCCCCTCCACTCTCCCCCAGCCTGGACTCCTCTCAGCGAAGGGAAGACAGGGGTTTCCCCACTCCAACCTGCCCCGCTGGCTGGCTCCCCGGCTGGGTCTGGGAAAAAAGGAGGGGTCTCGGCCCAGCTTTGAAGAGTTTTAAATTCCTCTGTTGGTTTTTCCCCTCTCCCTCCCTCAAGTTCTGAATCCAATTCTAGCTCCTGGCCAACTGGTAGAATTAAGGGATTAAGAGCTACCCAGGTCTTATCCCGATATGAAAAGATTGCTCCAAGAGCCTCGTGGCTCCAGGCCGAGGCCGAGGCAATCGCTCCCTGCCTGCTCGGGTATTGTTTCCAAAGCCTCCTGGAACCACCCTTTGAGCTCCTGGCTGAGGCATTGAGGTTTCACTTATCTCTTAAGACCCCACTCCTAATTGCTCAATGTCGGACAAGCGGAGAAGACTCCAGGTATTATCTGTTAAGGGCCCTGTAATCCAGTTCATGAGGACAGACTGGTAATCAGGACACCTCCAGAGCCTCCTAAAGTCAACATGGAATTTCACACAAGCTCAGAGCAGCCTCCAGAAGGACCCTGAGGACAAATGGACAAATGCTGGTGTCAGATCCCTTGGGAGGGGATGCAGAGGCTGGGTAGGGGCTAGGGAGGTTGGGGAGGAACTGGGCAGAAAGACCAGTTATCTGGGCCGGAAAAAGACTGTTGACAGTAGAAGGGGATTTTTAGGGTGGACTGGGATGGAGGAGTGTGTGTGTGTGTGTGTGTGTGTGTGTGTGTGTGTGTGTGTACATACATACATGAGGACTTCCTAGACAGAGGCCAGCATAGGGGGTTCTGGGTGAGGCTGGCCAGCCCAGGCAGCAAAGGGCACAGGGCTGTGAGCTGGTGGCCCCCGACAGGCATGGTAGCAGAGGTGTGGATGAGTCAGAGGCTGCTTGTCTGTAGGCTCCGGGGAACTTGCTGACAAACACAGTTCATCTTCCTGGGGAGGGAAGGAGGCGCAGCCGGCGCGCCATGCCATATGGGCACACCTAGATCTATCAGTCGACTGTCAGCTGGCGCCCTTCATGGGACACAGGCGCGTCCCTCTGACGGATGGTGCCTTCCTGGAGACGTCACGGAGACTCTGGGCAGATGCAGCTCAGATGCCAGAATCTCTCGGCACCTCGCCTCGGATCATCTACTTAGAGCTGACAAGAGCAGGGCTCACCTTCCTGCATGGGGAGAGGTGGCTTTGAAATGATCTCCTACACTGGGCCTCTCCTTCCTCCTCAGGGCTGGTCCAGGTGGGCCTTCGAGCTCTGTGGCACCCTTAGCATCTCTCCAATGGAGCGTGCAGAAATGTCAAGTGACTTAAATCACTTCCTGAGCTCCGAATGTGCACCTCTACCATCCTTTCCCCCTGGGACCCATCTGGAGCCTAAGGCCTGGAGACTGAGGCCTGGCAGCCACTTTCTGCTGCCTGTGGTCACTGATGGCTGTTGGCTGTCCTGCTGCCCTCTGTGCGTGGTGCTCAGTGCAGGCCCAGGCAGCCTGGGCTTCCTGGAGAGCACATAGGAAATGGCTAGTTCGTGTGTTGGGATGTTTTTATTTTTCAGTGTTGGGGATTGAACCCAGGGCCTTCCCACTGAACTACATTCCTAGACCCCACCCCCTGTGAATTGTTATTTTGACACAGGGTCTTACCAGATCTCCTTGTCCGGGTTAGGCTCAAATTTGCAATCCTCCTTCCTTGGCCTCCCAGCTAGGATTACAGGCATGTTCTACCATACCTAACTAGCTAGAGTCTTGGTTTAGGTCCCCTATAGTAGACCCCAAGACAAGGATGTGGGGTGATGGGAGACATGGGAGGCACGTCAGTGAGCATGGGGAAAGAGCCCAGGCCCATGTGTGGTCCGAAGGTGCGCAGGGCTCTGAGTTCCCACCCGAGAACACACAGACGTACCAGAGTGAACACCACACAGTGAGCCCTGAAGAGAGAAAGCTGACCCTAAACCCTGCCAGTTCCTGATGAGAGCTGTTTCTGGGGTGCTGAATACCCGGCCCTTCTGATTTTGAGAGCAGAAACTTGTCCTGTGCTTTGGAGACAGGACAAGACCGTGAGGCCTTCGTGGCTGACTGTGGGAAGCAGCAGACTGGTGGCGGCAGCCAGGCCTGAGTGATGGGGACAGGAAAAGCCAGTGCCAGCACATTTCCGGGCAGGTGGGCTGGGTGACGGTGCCATGAAAATGTCCCCCACTGAAACGCTGGCATCTTCCCGTTGCACCTAGGTGAGTCCTGCTGTCTCAGGAGCCTGGGGCCTGGCCTTCCGGCTGCCTGGACAGGACCCTCTGCTCACAGCAAACACCGTCTCTATCCTCTGAGCTGGAAGACCAAGCACCAGCCAGGGCACTTGCATTTCTGCTGCAGGACACGCAGAGGTATGGGCTACAGTAAGTGTGCACCCTTGTGCTGAGGTGACTCTGGGCCAGCCACACCCATCTGAGGGCCTTACTCCTTCCACTTGGGAAGGGGGCACTTGGCAGAAGGATATTGGAGTGGATCCCAGGGTGGAGTTGGGGACATCATTGTGTGCTCCTGTTTAGCGTGACATAGATGCTGCAGGTGTTAGTATATACACATACATTTCGGGAAACAATGACATCCCGGTAACAATGGGCACACGTGCCACCCAGGTATTGGTTTCTAATAACATTCTCCAAAATATGAGCCAGTGTTCTTTGGAGAAATGTTTGGTTCTAGAACTCTCAGCATCTTTTTTTACAGTGTGTGTGCATGTGTGTGGGGGTACTGGGTACTGAACCCAAGGCTTTCACACCGAGCTATATCTCAAGCTCTCTTTTTAAAATTTTTGTTTTGAGACAAAGTCTTGCCAAGTTTTGTTTTGGTCTTTTTGAGACAAAAAGATCTTGCTATGCAGTTAAGACTGGCCTTGAGCTCACTTAGGCTGGCTTTGAACTTGCAACGATCCTCCTGCCTCAGCCTCCCAAGTGCTGGGATTACAGGCGTGTTCCACCAGGCCCAGCTAGTCTTGCCAAGTTGTAAACTTGCCCGGGTTAGGCTCAAACTTGTGATCCTTCTGCCTCAGCCTCCCAGAATGCTGGGATTACAGATGTGTGCCATTACCTTGGCTAGCCTGGAGCATCTTGTAAAGCCAGAAAGTAGGACAGGCTCAAAATGCACCTACACACACACATGCACGAACATTGGGGGTCCTCAAAAGGACACGGGAGCCCACTAAAAAGCACCCAATGGCCCATATGGGGACAGTTTGAGCAACAACAACAACAAATATAGTATTAGTTTGCAGCCTTAAGTATAAGACAAATACCCATGAATCCATGCGGATATAATAAAGTGAATAAAAAATAAGCAAGTGAGTGAGAAGAGACAAATCTCCTGTGCAGAAGAATTCCAAATAAGTTACGTAGATACTCTGTCCTCAATGGGAGTAGCTGACACCCCCATTCTTTAAGTATGAGCTACATAGCTTCCTCCCACAGCATGTACAGTATGGAAAGAGAGATAAGAGTCACTTTTCTGTCAAGAAACCTCACCTTGGCCAAGTGGCCCAGGTCAGTACCGACTCTGACGAGTCATACTGGTGGTGTGGAACAATGAGAAGGGCGTTTTGCTTCTGTGGTCTGTCCCGGAAGAACGCAGCACCCCAGTCTCACCATGAGAAAAACATCACACGGTCCTAGATTGGGGGACATCTTACAGAATGCCTGACAGTGCTCCTCAGATTGGCCAAGGTCTGTAAGACTAGGGCAGGCCTGAAAACCATTACAGTCTAGAAGGTGCTAGGAACACAGGTCCACTACACGTACTGCGGTGTCCTAGAAGGGACTCTGGAGCAGGAGCGGGCGGGACATTAGGTAGAAGCCAAGGAAACCCAAATGCAGGGTGGGCTTTAGTCAGGAACGTCTGCAGCCTGGCTGATCTTTAGTGGCAGCTGGACCACAGCGGCGTGGGGCTGAGCACGGGCACTGATACTCAGTGTCTCGTCTGTACAAGTCTTCAGCCAATCTAAAACTATTCAAAAGCTAAAAGCTTCTTTCCAGAGTAAGCACCTCTCCTGGAAGGTGGCTCAGCCACGCATTCATAAAAGGTGCCTGGCCTGGAGAGAGAGGGCTGGATTCCCGGTCACTGTGTGACTCTGGGTAAGTTGCTTTCCCCTCTGGTCCTCGGTTTCCCCTTCTGTCCAATAGCAAGGTTGGATTCATGAGCCTAACCTTGACAGTCCGCGATTTCCCTCATAGCCCACTGGAGTAACCCGAGATACCTTTTTAGTCAGGGGGACTGGTTGGTGGCGTGTTTTGCAGAGCAGGGGGACCGGGGCCCGAGGGGCTTGGCCTGAGGCCTTCTGTGCCGGCACTGGCCTTGCTGGGCCCTCCCCTGCCTGGAAATGCCCCAGGCTCTCATTTTCCCAGCCTGTTCTCGGGGCAGAAGAGTGGCAAGCGGGGGAGTTTTGATGATTCGAGGAAGCAGCGATGTGTTTTAATACATCGGCTCCTGGGGACCTTGAATGAAAATTTTAACAACTCAGAAGCTGTGCACGGAAGGCGCCTCTACTGCAAGTTCTCAGAAGGGTATTCCAGCTAAATTGCAGAAATAAATATGCATCTTCTTCGTTTTTGATGAGCAATCACCGCACAGAGTCTGGATCCGTAAGTGGCGGCATACTCCTCCATGGGAAGAAAAACCCATCTGCGAGAGATCTGACTTCGGTGCTTTTCATCTCAGGCTTCGTGGCCATAAGAGCAGGTGTTTCACAGAACCCACCAAGCGATGACCTACTGTGACAAGCGGGGCAGCAACCCAGAAAAAGGAGAAGAATCATTTACATCAGTGCGCGAGGATGCCCACGGAAAAAAAATAGGGCTTTACAGCCTGTGTTGTTATTTTGCCATCGGTCCCCAAGGGCGGGCACACAAGCTAACCCCTTTGAGAGAAGGAAGAGAGGGAGGTGATTCTGTTAGAACTTCCAGCAGCCTCAGGGGGAGGCAGAAAGCCGGTCAGGCCCACACCCAGGGCTCAGGGGAGGAGCTGCTTCCTTTCTCTTCCACAGTGACTGGGAAGCCCAGGTCCTGCCCAGGGTTGACACTCAGGACACATCCGGCCCCATTTTGCACCCAAGTGGGTCAGGCCTGGGACCTCCAGAGTCTGACATTTGCCCCTCTGACGCCTTCACGTGCGTGGATTTCTCTGGCCCTTGCCGTGACCCGAGTTCCCAGTCTTCAGATATCTACAGAAACACCTCCAAGACGGCCCCGTGGTGCTGTTTAATGAACGGCAAACAATTCTCTTACAACCAGAAAGAAAAAAAAAAAAAAATCTCTGCAAATCCCCAAACCTGTTAGCTGGAAAATATTCCAAGATCAACATATTTTAATTCACTAATTAATACAGCTAAAAGGCATTTTTCATATTAGACTTATTAAAATCACTTGTATTTAAGTGTTTTTGAACTCATATTTTCTGATGCTGTGCATTTTTCTAAAGTGTTCTAGTCATGTTATGCAAATGCCTATTTAAATTACCAGGGGTATTTGTTTTCTATTTCTACTCTGTAAAACATAATTTTAATACAAGTTATTTGTGAAATGCACATTGGAAAAAAGAAAATAAGATTTGAGATGGCATTTCTATGATAATTTTATTGCAAATGTTGACCATGTTTTTGTGTTTGTCTGCAAAAGGTAATTCAAAATATACATAAGACATATTTCTGGGATTTATTGTCATATGTGAACTAAATTAGTAAAGCAAAATTTGCTTCATTTTTTGAACCCGAGGCAGGGCAGTCCATCACCCCAGGAAGCACGTTTTACGGAGAACAGTTGTGGCCACGCAGCAGGCAGAGCCTCATGTCATAGCTGAGAGAAAATGCTCCCTCACTCTGCACTTGAATTCGATTTCCTGACACCTGTGCACAGCTGGACTTGTGCAAGGCAGGAATGCAGGCCTTGGCAGAGGATGGGGGACTCGGGTGAAGCGGGACGTCAGTGCTGAAAGCCGGGTGGCAGACATGACCAGGAGCATCTGAAATCCTCAAGAGGCCAGTGTAGCAGTCAGACTTCAGAGCGGGGGAGATCTCTACGAGGGTTCCCCAGCACGCTCTTCCTCTGTGGATTTATCTAAGGTGTGTAGTCTTCCTACCATCAGCACTTTCTTGATACACATCCGATGCAGACATAATAAGATGTCTAGAGGCAAAAACAGGTGTTGCGAGAAGGAGTCTTGGATGAATGATTAAGCATCAGTGCTATTTCAGAGGTTCCTGGCAGCCAAGGCAAAAAAGGCAAACATGAGTTCCAGGTACTGAGTCATTTTTGAGTCAAAAAATATCTGTTTCTTGGGAGGAGGGACAGTTTCCTGCTAGCCTCCCTCTCTTAGAGAGCAGAGAGCCCTTCATATGGCAAAATAAAGACACAATGAGATCTGTCTCCAGTGGTTTACAGAGGCTGCAAAATCACGCTTCTGAAGAGTGTCTAGATTCATGCTAAAGATGTTCTGGTCGTTCAGAGACTTGGAGGTATATTTGCACTGTTGTTAGGGCACCTACAACAGAATGAGACTTCATGTCCAACACCTCTGACCCCATTCTGGCTGGGACAGTCATCGCTTACTCTTACCTCAGCCAGCAAGGACCAGTGCTGAAGGGGTGACAGGCCGAGGGAAGGGACAGGCAGATGGGAAGGGACAGGCGGATAGCTGGTCTGGCCCTTCATGGAGTTTATGGAGCCACGACAGGGGGGTGACAAGGATGAGCCAGGTTTGGTGTCAAGGTCTCAAATGCCAAGAGGAGAGGCCCAGACTTGACTCAGCAGGGGAAGTTCTGAATTATTGCTGCAGACTGGAAGAGGGAGTGAGGTTAGAATTCCAGGGGATGCTGGTTATTACCAGGCCACAGCTCAGCCTGAGCATCCGGGGCCCCACATTCTGGACACTGTCCTATGTGGCATCAGCATGGGTGGCAAGAGATAGGCCACTCCCATTCCTTCCAGAAATGGTAAATTCTAGAGCAGTGAGAGACCCAGGAAGCTACCTGCCTCCCTTTTACCCTGGCCTGTGCATTCCTGCAGAGCCTGGTCCCACTGCCAAACCATCTGTCTGGTCTCCAACCCTCTCCCTCTCCACTCAGTGTGTGCCTGGCTTTTTACACCGGCCTCTCTATCTCTGCAAACTTGACATGTTCATCCTCATCCCAGGGCCTTTGCACTTGCTGTCCCCTCTGCCAGCAGGCTTCCCCTTCCACTGTTTACATGGCACATCCCCTGGATCTCTGTGCATTTGAAACCCTCCCCATCCCGAGCCTGTTCCACCTTCTTTCTGGCACTTACCATTGGAGGATAACATTGCTTTGTTCACTACATGTCTCCTACCTACCTACCTCGCCAGAGAGAACCTTGGGCCCTCTTCCCTCCGGTTCACTCCTGTGTTCCCAAGAGCAGCGCTCTGCACAAAGCGAGTATTCATCAAGATTTGCCGAAGGAACACGTATTTCAGGAGCTGCACTTGTTGAACCTGGAAGACAGAGCGAGCCCTCTCCGGATCCTCAGGACTCCAAGGCCTCCAGACCCCCGCCCCACACAGCCCAGCAGGTTCTGGCTGTGTTCTCCCTCGGGACTCGGCGGCAGGAAGGCCAGGGATGTTCTGGGTTTGGTTTTTCTAATTGGTTTGATATGATCATGAAAAGCATCTAAAAATTGGACAGCTGGAAATGTTTTTCCTCCCGTTCATTACTTAAAACAGCCTTAGAGTTTGGGGTTTTAAAAATCAGATTCTCCCCACTAAAAGAAATGAAAAAAAATTGCCGTGAACCCATTCTTGCATATTTTTGCAAAGACCCCACAAGGTCACGACAAGGCCTCTGCTTGCAGGAACTGGGGGAGGGGACCCTATGTTCCAGACAAGGCCCAGAACTGGGTCTCAGCCATCCTGCAGCCACAGTATCAGGAGAGGAAGATAAATTAAGATGAGTGTATTGCAGTTAGACATTAACCACGACAGTGAAAAAGTATCGCGAATGTTAAAGTAGCCCAGACTAAAATATACTGAGGTTAAAATACAGGGTAACTTTACAAATCACTAATAATTTCTTTGGCTTTCACTGCAATAACATTGATTTAATTCATTAGATTCCTTTCTAAATCTATATTTCAGTTTTAGAGTTGTCAGTTTCTGTTAATGACAATTTTGCCCCATCTGTTCCAACACGAAAATGAGGCTTCCTTGCCGCAGACAAGATAGATCTCCAAGGGTTGAAGAAGGAGAAGTCTTAAAGGTATTTCACTCAGATCAGGCCTGATTTGATGATTCACACGCCAAAGGAAGGTGCCCGCAAAAAGCTTCTGGTGGATTCCCGGGGAGAGAGCCCGTCCCCCAGTGACTTGTCCGTGTCTGCCCCAAAGCCCCCTCACATCTGAGGGACCCACTGTGTTATCATCATTTCTTATTTAGGAGAGGGAATATTCAAAACATTTCCACTCATTCTTTCTTTCTTTTTTTTTTTTTTAATGACAGAGCAATAATTCTGGGTGTCAGCATATCAGAATTCCAGTGGTTGTGATTAGAATAAAAATGAGTTGCTGCAATTTGGCCATTCAAATCGGCGTATTACAGTAAGTCATTTCCGTGAGCCCAGTGAGCTTCTGTCTGCCTGCTGAGGGGCAGTATCTGGGCTTCCAGCTCCGTAAGAAATGTCTCTGACGACGTCCTCCAGCCTTCCAGCCCACACACCTGTCAGTCTCCTGCAGGAGGTAGTTTTGAACGCGTGGGTGAAGAATGTGTGCAAATCTAGGTAGCAGAGGATGACATCGGAGGGGCCAGTGTGGGCTGGGAATGGGCCTCATTCTGGAAAAAATAGGGATCTAGGAGCATGTAGACTTCCTGCAGAGGAGAAGAGGCCCTGCTAGTCCAGATGTGACAGAGGCATTCCCAGCCAGCAGCCGGGTCTTGTGTTATTGGTGGGGGGGAGACGTTCCGCTAATTATTAATCACGGAAAAAGAAACCCACCATTAAAAACACACAGCGTGTAGTGCATGACCCTAGGAAAAGGGGATTTTTTTAAAAATTGGAAAACCTTCTAGAAAAACAGGCAGGCATTAAAACATATATGAAATTAGACCGGATCCTCAAAGTTAATATTCACCATATGTATTCACATTCAGCTCAACTCCAACAAATTGAGTACTGCATTATAGCTGGAAGAAAAGAGGAGATTGCTTCACACACGGGCTGACATTAAGTTGAGTTACTGTTTCGCTGTAGACTTCTTCAGAAAGTTGAAAGACAGTTGAGAAAATCAGACTGCAAATCCTGCTTGTGGATCTGCCTCCTAATTTCAAATACAAATTAGGGAAATTTTTAACATTTCACATGTCATACCTTGAGCAAATTAAAAATCAACAAAAATATTAAGGTTCTATGTTACCTGCTCAAGTGTACAGAATGTATAAAAACTTTAATCAAACATTCAGGTTTGCTCAGTTTTAAATTGTGTTGGTTTAATAGTTTCTTTTCTGCTGTTTATATTAATGACATATTCCCATCTAAATGTATTGCCAGGCTGAGAAGCATTCACAACATTTCCAAGGTTGAACGAATGCAGTTGTATTCATGGTTTTTTTTAATAAAAAGATCTCTTTCTATTAAGTCCCCTCTTTCTTTTTCTTTTTTTTTTTTTTTGGTTCTCCAAAGATTGAGGCACAATACAGTAGCACTGGGAGTGATATAAATACACATCACCGCTGCCTCATTTAGTGTGCAAATGCCTATTCCCCAGTAGTGTAGAGATGAAGGACCCATCTCCTCCACTTCCCAGCCGAGGAGACTGGAGGGGCTGGTGGCAACGCAAATTACTTTTTCTAAGCATCAACTGAAGGTCTCATCATTTGGGGAAATGTCTTAATTTGTTCTTCTCAGAGAGTGGTCAAACTTGTGTGTGCCTCAGTGGGCAAGCCCCACCCGATTGAGATAGCTTTGGAAGGATGTGTATGAAGGTATAATGCAGGGCAGGGCAGGGCCAGGAGAACCTACCAATGGTCCATGGTGGGATTTATAAGTGAAGTTCCAGGCATGAGGTTCAAAATCCCTTCACACTACATCTGGAAGGCTGAGGCAGGAGGATTTCAAGTTAATGTGGGGGCAACTTAGTCTCAAAATAAAAAACTAAAAAGGGTCAGGGCTCAGTGTAACAGCCCTCGGTTCAATCCCCAGTGCCACAAAACAAAATAAAGCAAAACAAAACAGCACAAAGCCCCTCCTTATCAGGATTGCTTCCAGAGAATCCCACACCTACCTGACTGAACTTTTCATGTGCCTCTGTGACCTGGGCTTGTCCCTGCCCTGAAATGTATAGATTATGCAGCAGGGAGTTCTCATGCAGGACTCTAATTTTGTCACAACTAAACCTGAACTTTTCAGTTTAACAAAATGGATCAGTGATCCAGGTTCAGAGCAAGGGAGAAAGGGCGAGTCATAGGACCTTCCAGGGTTATTTGCAGAAAAATTCTTCCGGAGCCAAGAAGATTTGGACTTGCTTGTTCTGGCCTTGGGGAAAATGACACCAGCTGCCCGGACGGCTCCTCATCTGTAAACAGGTGGCTCATAAGGAGTTTTGGTGACCTAGGGCTCTCCTTGGTGGGAAATAGACCAGCTCTTTGGATATAAGACACAATTTATTAAATCGTAAATACCTCATAAATATAAATACAAATAAATGTATTATGATCCCTATATTTTGTACTTAGGTAAAATGAAGTCTATGAGTCTAGTCAATACCTAAGTTCTGAGGAAAAGAGAGTCCCTCTGCCTACCTGTTCTTTTGATTATTATGAGATATCAATCCCATAGGCCAAAATAAGTAATACAATAAGCAGACACATGCACATCATCTAGTGTGATCAAACCCTAACATGATGTCCCATGTGCTCCAGGGTTTCTCAGGCTCTGAGACGGTAGCTACTGGAACCTGGTGCCTGGATTCCATTCAGCCCAGGCCTGGGCAACCTCTTTATGGGGAATTTCATTCTTCACAGCTTGGGGCCAGAAACCGATTGATCTAGAAAAGGGAGTGCTACTTGGGGAACACTATCTTAAACTTCTGTCCGTATCCCAGGAGAGGGAAGGAGGAAGTCTCCATCTGAATGAAGGGCGTCCATTTGACCTGGAGGGCCAGCAAGGATTGCAGGTTGTAACGTGCACCATGGTCTGCAGGCGAGAGAAATGAGGTGATTAAAGCTAAAAATGAATATGCCTGAACTGGGAAACTGGCCTTCTGAAATAATTAGGCCACAGGACACAGGACGAGGGAGCGCCAGGCAGGTGTCTGTTGAATAAGAGACTCCCCCGCCCCCCATGTGCCTTTTCCAAGGGGCTGGAAAGTACCTTCGTTCTCTCATGGAACTGGTTTTAGAAACGATTCGTTTCTGACTCTGCGGCATGGGGGATTCAAAACGTGTCTCTCTAACTCGGACTGGATGAGATCAGCGGCTTTGCTAATCAACTAGAAATATGACTGGATATGAAATCTTTACCTGTTTAAGAAAATTATGTAATATATTTCAAGCAAATTAATTCCATCTGGACCAGTTAGAGCACATAATCAGCTACATTATGCAAATAGTTATCTTTGTGGTTGAAATCAATAACTTATTTTCTTCTGTAATAAAGAAAAAAGGGGAATAAGTTTTTATTAATTATGTACAAAATGAAATCTTTTCTTGCGAGGCTCTGGGTTTCATTTCATTAGGAGGGCTTTCCTCATGCCCGTTTCTGGGGTCCTGATGAGCGCTGTGGCTGGGATGTCTCTGAGGCCACCTTTCAGTGGTGAGACCGCTCAGGGAGCAGGCCCAGGCCAGCTTCTCTAGGGGGTATCCATTCAGCGACGGGACATGCCTGGCGACGTCTGGCAGCCCAGGCTGGCTCTTGGCTTTCCCTCTGGCTGTAGTTCTGAGGAGCACCTTATTTATAAAGCTTGCTTGACCATGGCTAGTCAGTATCAGCTTCAGTTATAGATGAAGTTAATGACAATATTGATTATGCCATAACCCATGTTAATAGTGAGTGTATTGCCTCTTAGCCATAGGGCGGTATTTATGAGCTATTTTTACCCTTCCGAACGTGGCTGAGTCCTGCAGGAAATCACTCTCCTTACTCTTTCTTCTGATCCAAAGGAGCACAATGCAGAAAGGGCAATCATGTAACACTTCTCTTTTCAACTGAGAATGTGTGCATCCATTTGCACCCTCATGATGGTCATTACCACCTTTATTTCTTCCTGAATGTGGAAGAAAAAAATACCCAGAGTCTATGCTTAGCCTGGGCAGGTGGCTGTGTTGGGGACCTCTTTTAGCCTGGTTGTGTGTCGCCAGCTGATTTTTCTACAAGTTCTGACTGAGTGTTTTAAGAGGGTGGCCTCTCATCAAAGCCAAGTGGATCTTCAGTGTGGATTGTACAGTCACATTCCCACACACGAGGAAATTCCCCACCACTTCCGTGGGGCTGCAGCACGGTTATCTTT